AAAGTACAAGTAACAAGTTGCTAAAAGCTTTTTGTTTATTATTACACTAGGACAGGCACTGCAGAGATTGAGGCCTAAGGCTCTTTTCATGCTCTCATGCAGGGGGCTTAAAAAGGGAGGATTATATACAATGCTCTGACACAGAACAGCACTGCAGTCTGCAGGGAAAACACAGACCTACCCCACCAGATATTACATTGAATTTACTAGGTGTGTTTAGTTGATACAGAGTAAAATATACTTGACTTCAGGCAATAAATGTTGAACTTATATAAAGCCCATCTCATACATATCCATTTAGGTAAAATAGGGGCAAATTCTTCTTCTAATTACACAACTGAAAAACGAAGCTCAGGAAATAAATGGAGAAATTATGAATTCACACTATAGTAGACTTTTGCCACAAGACATTTGTATAATTGAAAAATGTGGAAGTAGAAATTAACAAGCTGTACTATATTTATATCCTAAAACTACAGTAACAATAGGAAGGATACTTGCTGTTGCTTTCTCTTTTTCCTCATTGTTTTTCTTCTTTTTCGCTTGTACCTAAGAAAAATAAGATTTAATGGGCTAGCAGGTTTGAAAAGGGTTCAAACTTTTGCTGTGCATAAATGAGTGATGGCACAAAAGAGGTAAAACACTCTGAACAATTATGTATGAAGAAACAGAATTAACACATAAAGTTATCTGTGTTATTTTCTACAATAAGCATTACTCTATAAACATGCAATTTGTGATTGTACTCTGCTTTTAGCAAAAAGCAAAGGAAGAAATCAGCAGAGACATGTAAACTTACTATGCTAATCATGAATTAAAAATTCATAAAGAATAGCCTAGCATTGTCTGACATTTTGTAATCCTACAGGAATAAAAGTCTTCGAAGTAGCCAAACAAGGGTGAGAATAAGATTAATACGGCCATTTTTAAAAATCCAATGAAAAAGGAGGCCAGTAAGTTTAACAACCCTGTCTATGCACAAACATCAAGTAGAAATCTTGTGAAGTGCACCCCATCAAGCAGTTGGCATGATGTCATTTGAGTTCTAAAATACCTCTAAATAGTTGAAAAGTTTCGAGTAAAAAATATAATTCAGAGTAACTTGTGGGTGTTAAGAATTGTACTGAGCAATTGTTACTACAAGTTTTTAAAGAGAAAAACATGAACATTCCTGAATTTGCTGCAATCTCAAAAGTTAATGGTTGAAGTCAAAACTAGTTCCACCAATGGATTAACCTAAGATAGTTTTGTTCACTCAGATGCTAATAGCACTATAATATCTGAAATCGAGGTTTCACACTGACCTGCTCTATTTGATCTGATTCGGATAAGGATTCTGATGATAAAGGTCCATCACCACGATCAGCTTTCTTCCTCTTCCTGTGAT